GCTGGCCACGTCGAGGATTCATTAGTCAAGCAGGGTGCCCGTCACAACGGGCTGGAACTCCATTGGGGAACACATCTTGGCAATCAAATAAGACCCCGCCCCTAAAGGCGGGGCACTGCGCCAAATTCTCAAATCCCGGTAGGAGAGATCTGTTTGTCAATCAATATACGTCCCACCTCCTCTCTAGTCTTTAGGTTAAAATACTGCCGCACAGTGACGACACTCCTGCTACTCCTTTGCCCACGGGAGGGCTCTGGAACTGTAGGACGCTTGGTGATTGGCCCCTGACTACGCGACTGGAAAGTTCCAGTCTTCCGATCGCCTCACTGCAGCAGTCCGTTCTCCAGTGGCGATTGGCTCGCGAGATTGGAAGGGCTGATACCCGTTGGGTGACAGAAGTGAGCCTTGTCTCGGAACTGGCTGCCGGGCTTCCAACTAGGGAAACCCGAAGTCCTTGGAGGTCGCCATCTTGACGCTGCTGCGGGCCAACGAGCGAGCTGTTGGAAGGCAGAGGCGCAACGGGGGTAGGGTGGGGGAGTGGGTAGAGGATTTCTGGAAACTGGTTTCCTAACCAAAATAACTCCAGAAGGTGGGATTTTGCCGGAAGTGGAGGTTCTGAATGGAGCATTCCAGGAAGAAGTTTACTTTTCAATTTAACACATGGCACCCCATCCACCAGGTCTCCCCAACTATAAAGCAGAGAAGAGTTCTCACTCAGACCTACCTACAAATCCTGAGTCCTGTCATCCTGCCTAGTTTCAGTCTGTTTCTTCTCCAGTCTGGACTGATAACCTCTCAGCTTCTATCTAGGTCACCGCCCCTCCAACTTGCACCGGTACCAAACTGGCTTCCCCTTTCCTGGCCATATAAAGCTCAAAGTTCCTAACTGCAGCTTTAATCACCCAGGACCTGGCTACTTTGCGAAAATTTCCATATTCCTCCTCCTCATAGGTATACCTGACATTCAGACTATGCCTCTTTACATGCAGTCTGTCCTCAACCAAACCACTGCAAAACCTAGAATCCCCTCATGCAAAGCCCTCCACAGCGGGCCTACCTCCACTGCGCTCTTAACGGTTTTGTGCTGTCTTTCCTAAGTAAATGGAAAAGCCAGCAGGTGAGGGACAGTTCTATTTCTATTTCCACCGCCTAACAGTATGCCCAACATACAACGCATGTCCTTTTTGGATCTTTGCTGACTAAAGGATGCACTGATTGGAGATGTGCATGCCAACACCCACATCTTTAATTTCCCAGCTTCCAAGCCCTCTTTCCGACTTGGCTGTACCCTGAGACATCAATAAGTTCTGGCGCTGGCAAGGCAGGGTGCCATATTTTAGTAGAGATCTGCACATTAGAAGTAAAGAGGTGCTAGATATCCAAGAGACGTTTTTTTGTAGTTGAACCCAATACAGGTTTGAGAACCAGATTCACATGAGGCCAAGCAAAAAGTTAAACAAGCGCTCATTATACCCAACTCTTTCCCTCACCACCACCACCCCTTTTTCTCCCAATTCCTTACCTGGGGAGTTGAGGCACTTGGAGCAGAGTCACAGTCACTTAAAAGCTCCCCCGAAAATTTATCGGCCATCTCAGCTTCAGTGATCAGGGAAAACTACAAGGATGTGCACTGAAGACAAACTCTTAGTTCCCTGGAAGAAAGGTCTATTTATACTGACATTGATCTAATTTATTCAGGACTTGAGTAGGGTTGAGCTGGATGTAGTTGCACTCAGCACTCCAGGCTGAGTCAAGCCAGGTATGGTGGTGCATGACTGTAATCCCAACACCTGGGAGGCTGAGGCAGGAGAATTTCCCTGAGTTCCAGGTCATCCTGGTCTACATAGACCAAAAAAAAAAAAAAGCTCAAGTCAAGAGGATCACTGCAAGCTCCAGGACAACCTGGACTGAGGGCCAGTCTCAAAAGCAAAGAAATTTTTGGGCCATTTACTGATATTTCATTTATTTCATTTAAGCAGGACAGCTAAGGGAAATGTGGGTTTTTTAATGCCTTTGCTTTTTTTTTTTTTTTTTTTTGAAGCAGGGTCTCACTGTGTAGCTCAGGCTGGCCTTAACTCACTGTATAGTACAGGCTGGCTTTAAACTCCTAGCAGTCCTCCTACCTCAGCCTCCAAATGCTGGGATTATGGGTGTGTGCCCTCACACCTGGCTAAATCCTATTTTTATTAAGCACTTGATTTTGTAACTGGTTCTATTTTCTTGTATTATCTCATTGAATTCTCACAATAACCTAATAAATACTTTCAAAACCATAACATTTTTCTGCCATTACTGGGGACCGAACCAAGACATTCATATTGAACTACATTGTGGGCCTTTTTTAAAATTTTGAGATGAAGGGCCGGGGATTTAGCTCAGTGGTTTCACTGCCTGCCTCACAAGCACAAGAGCCAGAGTTCGATCCCCAGTACCAAAAAAAAAAAAAAATTTTTTTTTTTTGAGATGGAGACTCACTAAGTGGCTAAGTGCCCAGGCTGGGATCAAACTTGTGATTTTTCCTCCCTCAGCCTCCCAGAGTGCTGGGATTATAGGTACGTGCCACCATAGCCAGTCGAAGTCACAATTTTTTTCTAGGTAAGAAGAAAAAGGTTTAAAGATTTTGAGTACTGGGCTGGAGATTTAGCTCAGTGGCAGTGTGCCTGCTTCATAAGTGCAAGGTACTGAGTTCAATCCCTGATACAAAGAAAAAGTAGAGTACAGTAATTTGCCCAAAGCTTGGAGCTAACTAAAGATGTATAGAGAATTCAAAGCCAGTTTTCAGAATATATCAAAATTCAATAATATTTGCTTTAATATGAAAAAATTATGTATAACACAAAACTGGAAAAAATACATTTAAATCCAATAATAGACAATGTTTAAATACCACACTATTTCTTTCGTGTGAGAAACCAAGAGTGGAAATAAGGACTAAAATGTGTAATAGAAATGGGGAAATGGGAAGAAAATGGTCAATGTGAAGGGGAACAAGGGAGGAAAGAGGGAGAAAGGAAGGAAGGGACAAGAAAAAAGTGAAAATAAAAGGAAAAAGTGAAAACAGAGATGTTTGTGTTTTTGTTTTTGTAGTATGGGGGATCAAACTCGGGACCTTGTGCTTGTGAGGCAGGCATGGTACCACTGAGCTAAATCCCTGGCCAAAACAAAGATTTTGTATATAAGGAGGGAAGGGGACTTGAAGGGAGAGAGGGGATGGGAAAAAAGAGGCTGGGTGTACCATACACAGGTGCAAATTCCCTATGATAAGTGTTATCATTATGTATGCCAAAAAGGTACCAATAAACTTCTTGCTATAAAAAATAAACTAAAAATTATATCGAATCAAAATGATTTTGTAGCTAATAAAATGTTATGTGTCATAAACATGCAAAATGTCAAGACTATAAAATTCTATATAAGTATGATCACAACTATATTTAGCTGATTTTAAAAAATTGGAGACAGCCGGGTGTGGTGGTGCATGCCTGTAATCCCAGCACTCGGGAGGATGAGGCAGGAGAATCATTGTGAGTTGAAGACCAGCCTGGGCTACATAGTGAGTTCCAGGTCAGTCTCAACTACATAGTGAGACCCTGTCTCAAAAAAAAAAAAAGAAAAGAAAAATGAACTCATATAATCCTCACATCCAACTTCATGGCTGATTTTTTATTTCTCTTTTCCCACTAATCCTATCTACTAAATTTATACTAAAGTAACATCCAGATATAATTAATTTTCCATTTGTAAAAATTTAAATGCATTTACAAAGAATAAATTATCATCATGGCAATCCTGCTTCAGCCTCCTATATGCTGGGATTACAAGCATATGTCACCATGCCTGCCTACAAAATCCTTTTTATTTTTATTACTTTTTATTTTTAGTTATTTTTTGTTTTTTGTTTTGTTTTTGTGAGACAGAGGTCTCACTATGTAGTTGAGACCGACTTGGAACTATGTAGCTACCATGCCCAGCTCAAAATCCTTTTTAAAAAGCTGTCAATGTATCTCAGAGCAATAGTCCTGGATTCAATCTCAACCCCTAAAAAAATTTTTTTAATTACATGTTAAAATGATAGTATCTTTAACATACTGTGCTACACAATCACTGAAATTAGTTTTACCCATATCTTTTGTTTTTTGGAGACAGGGTCTATGTAGCCCAGGCTAGCCTGGAACTCCCAGCAATCCTCCTGCCTCAGCCTCCTAAGAACTGGGATTACAGGTGTGTGCCAC